TGATGAACCGGTTGAGCCGTCATTACCCTCTATGTCGTTATCTTTTACAGAGTACTCATTAGGTGCAATTGGAAAAATATCAAAAATTACTTTATTTATTAGATCATGCTCAACTACTTATGTTAATATGTGAAATTTAACATGATATATGTCTTAATTTGTAAAGAATTATGCCAAAATGAAAAGTAGAATGTGAAGACTTGTGGTTAAAAGTTACAAAAACATTTTCTCTATATTTAAAGGTTAAATTACTTATGATCAACAACTTCCGACTTCTACTTTGAATTTTCATTGTTAGATTTTATACTAGTTTTTAATATATACTGCGAGTACCTTTGTTTCATACTATTATTTGCAACAAATGAATTTGAGCGGACTTTTTTAGGTTGTCAAACAGCCAAAAAATGTATTTGGTAATTGGTTTTTTAGTCAGGAAAAAAGCTTGCTTTTAAGCCAAAATGAAAAAGCTGCTTTGAGTAGCTTTTTTGTTGGCTTTTGGCTTGTTGGCCCACAAATTATCTAATAAATAGCCAACAACCAACAATTAATTTACCAAACACTTTTATAAACAGTCAGCTTAAATAGCTAATTTCAAAAGCCATTATAAACAGCCAAACATTCCAGCTGGTCAAACAAGCCAAGTGAATCAGCCAACAGCCAACCTCCAACATCCATTTGCCAAACAAAGCCAAAATTTGTTTGTGAGTGTCAATTGGAAGGAAAAAAATATAGAGATTCATGTGAATATCAGAATATGTGATAATGTCTTCAAAAAAAAAGTGATAATAATAATAATAATAATAATAATAATAATAATAATAATAATAATAATAATAATAATAATAATAATAACAATAATTTGTTTGCTTGCCACCTTACCTTTTTCTTATGGTGGTTTGGGTGTCTATTCGGCGGGTGGTGTTCGACATTATGCTTTCCTTGCCTCGCGTCTGCAGTCTTCTGGTCTTCAGGTTAAGCTTCTTTGCAATTATGGTATTGTTGATCCAGGACCGGTCTTCGATGGTGCTCTTAGACTTTTTAACAGAGCTGTGGAGATTGACCTTATAAGTAACCCTAGTGAGATCGCTGCCCCTAGTCTCATGAAAAACTTGGCAGATATATATTTCACGAAGGTCACTGCATCTGTGGATTCCAATTTCTCCTTAACTCAGCGTCAGGTAGCCTTATGAAAGTCCAACAGGGGGATCACTCTTCGGCCTGGTTGTGCACGGTCCCGATATCGGGTTTGGGTCAAACTATGAATGGTAAGAATTACCGTATTGTTCTTTGCTACCGGTTGGGTGTTCCTTTGTTCTCCGTTTCAACACCGTGTTCAACTAGCTCAAGGGTTTTTTACGGAGATATTTATGGGGATCATGCAGTGTCTTGTGGTGGGATGGTGGGTATTAAACATCTGCACAACGTTGTTCGTGACACCCTTGTTGATATTTGTTTTCGGTATGGGATTTCTGCTCGAAAGGAGGTTAACGTTGGGTTGACTGAAGGGAACGACGGGGCTATTCGACCAGTAGTTGCGTTGCTTTATTCCTGGGATAGAGGCCTTGATGTATGTGTTGACTTGACTGGGTCTTCACCTTTAACGCAATCGGGGTTGTCTGACTTTGTCCCTGGTCGTGTTGTGTCGGCGGCGGCTCAGCTGAAGCGGGACAAGTACGGGGCGCGTTGCAGGGCTATTGGCTATGGTTTTCTTTCTTTCTCCTTTTCTTCGTTGGGGGAAAATTAGAGAAGGATGATATTGCGTTGCTGAAGCAGGTTCAAGCGTTCGCTACTCAGATAGTGCTCGTGCAGCTGCTCACATCTTTAGCAGGATCGGGTTCGCTATAGCTAAAAGGGTGGGGGCCCAGATTGTATCTCGGCTTCCTACCAATCTCTTGTAAATTGATTGACTTTGTAGGTTTTTTTGAAATTTTATAATAATAATAATAATAATAATAATAATAATAATAATAATAATAATAATAATAATAATAATAATAATAATAATAATAATAATTCTCTTGCTAATTCTCTTGAAATTTGTGATTTGTTCTATACTAATTTGTGTGTTCTTTATGATTGTTTTTGCCATTAGTTTAATCAAATACAAAGTTATATACCCTATGTCTTGTATATATCCATTGTTTAGTAACAAAAATTTCTTTTTTTGAATGGTAAATCAAAGATGTAGGCTCCACTTGTTTGGATGAAAATATTTTATATGGAAAGTGTTTTCTAAACAAAACAATTTTGAATGAAAACATTATTGTGAAAATATACGAGAACAATAATTTTAATGATAATTTGTAGGTTACAACTCTCTTAGATGATTCCTTTCTTCAAAGGGCTAGGGTTTTGATATTTGTTTATAGTAAAGGGTCTTGTCGGTTTAATCCATACTATGTACCTATAATATTTGGTAGTAGGGAGGAGATGGGGTCTTTGTGACTTGTTCCATTTGAACCTCAATTAAACCCTAAAAACGACCCTATTTATATAGTGTCATAGAGTAGTAAACAAGATATCTATCAAATATTCTACGAGATCTTGAAGATAATATCTTTGATAGTATCTCCTTATTTACAAATATCTGACACCTAATAATTAACAAAATTTCGGTGTCAACAACTGTTTCTACATATACTTAGTACCACTGAATGCAAATATAGTACCATTACATGCAAACATTGTATCACTGAATGTTCAATGATACTCTTTGATCATCCAATGGTAGTAACAATCACCCAATACTACTACTCTAAATTCATAATATGCATTTACGTGTAATTATACCCTTGCCCCTTGTCTGCATTTCTCTATGCATAATAAAACTTCATTAGGACAAGCTCATCAAAGTCTCAAAGGACGGTGATCTATGTGGCATGTTTACTTGTATAAAAATGGATTTTATAGACGGATTGTTATTCATTTTAGAAAGAGAAATATTGTGAAATTGTCTAACGATGATGACTTGTGAAGAGACTAGGGTAACTTTCAAATGCTTCACAAGTCATCATCGTTACCCTAGTCTCATTAAAATAAGGTAATTTTGACAGAAATTTAACTGAAATACATAATTAAAGTTACGGTTGCAACTTTTAAAAAGTAGGATGCTACCATTGAGAATCCAAAAAAAAAAAAAAAATGGCTACTATCGAAAATAAGCAATAGTAGAAGGCTACTGTTGAGAATTTTCCTTATTTAAATCTATACTAAAAACAAAGTTAATTCACCAATGAGTCTCTATAGATTCTATCTAGACTTTGGAGTAGCTAACAATATATACTAGGTTAGCACTCGTGCGATGCACGGATTTACCAGTTTTTTTTTATCTTTGAATATATATATATATATAAAAATATATATATAATATATATATATATATATATATAGTGAGTTTAAAATGTTCATAAGTTCAATTTAATTGACCTCAACTATGCTAACAACTTATAACTCTTATAAAGACTCCAACAACCTAATATCAACATAAATTGTTTGTTTTTGCTCGAACTTGTTCCTCATTAGAAAAAAAAAATCAAAATACATTAAAAAAATAGTACTATTTTAAATTAATTATCTAAATAATAGCTACATATTTAAAATTAATTAGCATTTTGTTTTAAAAAATAATAATAATTAGCATTTGAGCGGGAAATCTTTTCATAAAATAGCGCCACATGTACAACTTTGAAAAAATATGTCATCAGCGGTTGCTATTTTAGTATTAGTTATAGATAGATTAAATTCTAAAGCTAATTGCTATAGTATTCTGCAATATGAAACTAACATATGTTTTTTTTTGTTCCACCAGTTTTACCCTTTGGGTTAATCTAGATTCGGGATCAGTTCTGGATGGTTATGTTCCAATCCCCTCCTAATTATTATTGCAGGGGATCAAACACACGATTCTTCCTATCAAGTGTCCAAGTGCAGTCCCAAACTCCCAATCACCACTACATCAACAACCAATCGGCAATTAACATGTGTTGTGGCATCTCAATTAGAGATTCCCGGCCTTCAAATTGTGCATCCTAATTCTTAAGTTTTCATTTGGCGCAGCCAAGTCTTGTTTGATTCTAGATTCTCATTTTTACGCCAATAGTCAAGAGTGCCCTTCTATACTTATACCTAACCACTGGAAGAGAATTGGATTTCTCATCTTTCCTTTATCATTGAAATATGATCACATCTAAGGTTTGGTAAGGGTTACAAATACAAGTATTACTGTATTAGGCTAGCAAACTTAATGTTTACAAACCAATCTACCGTCAAAAACAGGAATGATAACGAGTTCTCGACTACCCATCAGGCCATCATCAATAAGCTCAACACATAATTGCACAATTTGCAATTCATTCTCCTTTGGCAACATTAAGGACCTTCACTTTTAAATAATTTGTGGATTTCTATTCAAAAAAAAAAAAAAAAAATAATAATTTGTGGATTCAACGGACTTGACCCAATTGCATCAAACAATGCTTCCTCTGATCCAAGGTACCTGCATAGAAGTACTGAATCTTATACGTAGTACAAAACTAACAAAAGTTGAGAACCTTGAGATTAACTCTTCCTTCATCAACTTTTGGCACTTATTATCATCTTTTCATCATATTCTCACAAGTTTTTCTACAATCTAAAAATTGTTAATAATAATAACTACTACGTATTAATTTGTTATTAAAGTCCAAAACAAAACTCTAGAGGATAATTATTAATTTACACCCATTAGTCTTTATAAAGCTAGCTCAGACAATGGCTAATTTACAGGATTGATAAAAATTTCGGGTCATGGGAGCTTCAAAAAGTGCTTCCTCAAAGCACTCCACAATTGAATACTGTGTAGGTATAGGCTACAAACATTAGCAGTTATAAGTTCAAAGAGCAGTTTGATGAGCGCAAAACTTCAAGGACATACTTGTTTCTGCATCTCATTATCTCATGGCCCTCCTACAAAAACAGCTTCATTAAGAAACCAAGTGATCCTTCCAGCAGCAAGGGTTTTCAGCTGAGTGAGCGATGTTTGTCTATTGTTATAACTCATACGCCATTGGAGTTAGCTCCTGAAATGTGACAAGGTGAACAGTTAGCCTAATTTTTTTTATGCACGAGCGACTTCATCACAGCCACTATCCAAACTCAAAATTGTGCAAGCCACATTAAAGATCAGACAAAACCAATGCATGGCTTGACAAATGTTGAGGAGTTGATTAAATGGACAGTTTCCTGCAGACTCACTAGCAGAGGCGATGATGAATGGTTACTTTTTCTTTGTCTGCTAGGAGAGAGGGAAAGCAGCATAACATGAAAGGGAAATATATTTGATACCAAATCTAAGGGGGGGGAAAAAAAAAAAAAAAAAAACTTTACCAGGCTTCAATGCTTGATCAGCTTCTTTATTAAGAAATGACAATAGACCATCATATGCGAATATTCAAAGTTTGTAGCATTGAAGCACCCCAAGCCGGAATCCTTGGGCTAGCTAGCCATGTTGATGGCTTGACGGAATGTCATGAACATCACGACGATAAGAGCAGGGGAATAAACTCATTAGAAATAGTTCTCTGCTTTTCATTTTTAGTTTGATCCATGTGAGTTCATCGATGCAATCAGAAAGGTATCACTAAATTTTCATTGTTCTGTCCACTTGCTCACTACGAGAAAGGTTTCACCATCACATATCAATGAACATTTTACTTGTAACAAGCATCATACAACAAGATCCACCTCATCAATATCAGGAGGAACCACATCTAATCTCAACATGCTTCGGTATTGTTCTGGAACAGGCGCACCTGCCTGCACACACAGCTCTACCACAGCTGGAGCCTTGCCATAGTATCTTTTTAAATTGTTGCATAAGGGTGGGCCAGAAGGATCTCGAACATGCCAGACATAGTTGGGGCCCACAAGATCATCTATGGTTGCCTCTTGCCACGCATGCAAACCATCACGAGACTGGTGCCTACTGGCTTTGCACATCCTCAGCTTGTGTCCTTTGGGACCCACCTGAACCTCAGGGCAGTAACCACACGTCCATACTGAGTATTTCTCCATGATCTTTCGTGCACCTGATATCATCTCAAACCAAGATGCCATTGTCCCAATGCTCAATTCTTTTAAGCTTCCTCCCTTCTCAGGATTCAGTTGTACCAATGGATGAATAAGGTCTTTTATAGAATCACCTTTAATATCTTCTACTTCTGTCATGAAACCAGAATCAATTTTGAGATTATCATTACTATGACCTTTATCGTGATTTGCATTACTCTCACCCATTTCAGGATCAAAGTCTACGATTCTTCCTTCAATGCAGTATACAGGTTTTGTTCTCCTCCTCACAGGATACTGTTCTAGATTAACACCAGCTTGTATACAGAGTTCCAATATTGCAGAGATGCGATGGACATCAAATCTCTCATTATGGATAACTCTTGGTTTCCCAACGCGGTCATTAAGGTGGACGCATTTGGGAAAGTAGATTACATCAGTTAAGCGTCCTTTTTTCCAATCATGCATAGCACGGCGGAAACCACTCCCAGGTCCAGTACATGTACGTATTTCATGCCCAACATGGCCAATATGAATTTCTGAGCAGAACCTGAAACAAACCAAAGTCATCTACATGTACTGGGGAAAATAAACGAGCCAATAATTAACTGACTACAACTCACAATTAAAAATACTGTCACATCGTTTAGAGAAGCTTAGGCTAAGCCGACAAGCCCAAATAATGGTTATCTGTTGATGCACCATCTAAGAGTTTCAATTACTGTTTATATATATATATATATATATATATCAAACTAAGGTTTTTTTTTTTCTTTGTTGTCTCCAGATGTTGCAACACATATTGGCTGCTATCATAGTGTTACATTCATATAACTGGACAGCTGCTATGACTGTTTGTCTCATGTTTAGCATCCAAGAAACATAAAACATAAGAGTAGATATTGTGTATCTGTTAACACTATCTACTCTTATGTTTTATGTTTCTTGGATGCCAAACATGAGGCAAACAGTCATAGCAGCTGTCCAGTTATATGAATGTAATGCTCTAAACAATACAGTAGCTATTATCAACCGAGTCAGTAAAACAGTCACAGATAGATGCATTGAGTCGATTTTGCTATCCATCATGGCAGAAGTTAAAACCATTTTCACAGAAATTACCATCAATACACAATAAGTTGGAGTACCATTCTTACTACTATGTCAACTAAGACTTTTTTTTTCAATAAATTACAAGATGTGTTCATAAAAAAATCCTACATGTAAAACATGGTATTAGATATAGCTTGAAGCACCCTGATTTTAAAAACAAATGACAAGTTGATAGAACAGCAAATAACTTTCTTTGGCTAATGATTATTAACGGTTTGTTTGGGTAATGTTAAGGGAAGGAAAAGAAAGAGAGGGAGGGGAAGGAATACGGATGAGTTTTCCTTCCAAATTTCTTCACTATTGGAGGGATCGTTTTCTTAGAATTTAATCCCTTTATTTCTCTCCCCTCCAATTCCCTTCTCCCTAATTTTTTTTATCCAAATGAAAGAAACTCCCACCCTCCATTTTCCTTCCCTTCCTTTCCCTCCATTTCCTTCAATCCAAACACACTATAAATAGTAACAATCATAAATGACTCGAAAAATTCAACAGATAAATTTATATTAAGTAACCGAGAAATACTAGTGAAAACAACTTTCCAAGTTCAAGAACCAATCTTTCTACACAATGGTGTAGTTACTGGAGAACAACTTATTGAAAAATAACGCAATATACAAATCTAACCTGCATCGGAGAACAGGTATGAAGGAAAGGAGCTTTGAGACGCCAATGAGAAGTGACTCTCGTGCCCAATAAACTCGTCTAGACACTTCCACAAGCTCAGGAACAAGAAGGCCATTATCAGGGGGATGCTCAAGGACTCGACAAGGATTCAATCTCATCAATTCCCTTTCCTCCTTAGCTCTCTTTATAAGGGTTTTCATGGGAGTTACATACGGCTTCCTCTCCGATTTGCATCGAGGAGGCCCCGGTAAATCTAAATACAATGGATCATCAACTTCTGCTCCAAAGGGAATCACCCTTACATCCTCCCCATCAACACCGCTGCCTCCATGACAATGTCGGCTTACACAATAAAGGTAACAGCGAATGTATTGATGTAACTTGATTTTCTTCACCAAACTCATGACAATTTTCACATATTTAAGCTGAAAATCCAAGCTCGTTTTACATCAAAAATCAATCTTATAAAAAAACCCACCTTATTAATTCGAAATTAAACCCATCCTCAAAAGACAACACAACTAAGAAATACATGTCATAAACTACACACTAAAAATATTCTCATAATCTAAAAATGACCCCCATACTAAACCCACAAAATAATTAAACCAGTAGAAGCAAGAAAACAACACCCAAATCAATGAAACTGAAAGTTAACACTCACAAGTTATAAACACCAACGCCTGCAACATGGTAAGAATTTATAACCCAATAGTTCAATAATCAATTCACTTTAGAAGAACCCTAAATTGAATTAAATTAACGATTAACGCTAGATTTTGAAATTGATATTCGATAATTGAAAAAAATAAATACAAAAAAAGTTACCTCAGAAGCTAACTCATTGCTCACAACTCACAAGCCGCTTTAATGGAGGAGAAATGCAGCGGGGTGAACTTTAATTATACGAAGTACGGTATTTGGTTTTAAGTTTTACGGTATTTGGTTTTAAGTTTTTAACTTCAATTACAATATACTTCCTTTTTTTTTTTTTTTTTTTTTTGAAATTTCCATTGGTACACCTGGTTTTGACTTTTCCCATTAATGCACTTCTAAATTTTTGCCTTCCCATCGGTACACAATGGTTTGATTTTTTTCCCAACCGTGACTAACACCGTTAAAAGTATTTCATTAAGTTAAAATAATTAAGGAAAATATTATAATAAGTTTTGGGAGTCATATTATATCTTAAAGAACCAAATTAACCTCGAAATTAGCAAAAAAATAACGCAAATGTCTCATATGCGTGTCAAAAATGTCTCGATTTGCGTGTCGATACTTTTTTGTGTTAATTATTATTCGATTATGGTTTTAGGGGTCATTTTGACCCTTTATGAATCTAAACCGAACTCGAAATTGTCAAAAAATTAACGAAAGTATCTCATTTTGCATGTCACAATATTTCTTACTGATCCGTATTTTTTTTTTGTCATGACACGCAAAATGAGACATTTTCGCTAATTTTTTTTAACAATTTCGAGTTCGATTTAGATCCATAAAGGATCAAAATGACCCCTAAAACCTTAACCGAACAATTAATATCATAAAAAGTAACGACACGTAAATCGAGACATTTTTTAACACGCATATGAGACATTTACGTTTTTTTTTTGCTAATTTGTGGATAATTTGGATCATTATGGACTAACATGACCCCCAAAACTTTAACCGAACAATATTCAACACGCAAATCGAGACATTAGATGTTTAAAAGGGGTATTATAGTCTTTTCCTTAATTATTTTAACTTAGTGAAATACTTTTTAACGGTGTTAGTCACGGTTGGGAAAAAGACCAAACCATGGGTGTACCGATGGGAAGTAAAAAATTTAAGAGTGTATCAATGGGAAAAGTCAGAACCACGGATGTACCAATGGGAATTTCTTTTTTTTTTTTTTTTTTTTTTTTTTTTGAAGATTTACAAAAAAATATACTTCCTTTGTTTCATAATGTTAGTCACATATACGAAGTACTATTTTGGGCGTTTCAAAAAGATATACCTATATCGAATATATTTCATTTATAATTTGATTTTTTTGGAATTAATTGATTGTGTATTGATGACATGACTTAAGAGCAAGTTTAGCCCCAAGTCTGAAAACTTGATTGTGACATCATGTTTGGTGGTTCCCATTGAAAATGATGTCATTAAATTCTTGTTAAGACTCACTAAGACTTAAACAAATTTATCACTTTAGCCCTAAGATTTAAATATTTGACATATTATATGTAGAAAAGTGTAAAAAAAAAAAAAAAGGGGGGGGGGGGATAATAAAAATAAAAGTGAGATGGGTCACAATCTCAAGTCTTAAGTTGAGTTTTGGAATTTCAAGACTTAATATGATACTTGCTTGAGATTTTTGAAGAAAAATGGAAAAAGTCTTAAGCATATGTCTTAAAACTCAAAATGATGATGTCACCCCAAGTCTTGGCGCTAAACTTGCTCTAAGTAAGGAAATTTTTACCTTAAATTATGCAATTATGACTTGTGCTTTCCTAATGAAAAATAAAAAAAGTTAAATAAGGTAAACTAATTATGAAATCTGTTGTACTTTAATGTTAGATTCCAAATATATTTGTTTTCTTATTTTATGTGATTGATTTCATATGGGACTAACATTATGAAATGGAGGGAGTAGCTTTTAAAAAACTTATTTACGGTTTTCCGTATGAATGAAACTTAATTACGAAAATACAATCTACGTAGACTCAGTAATACGTTTAGGGGTAATTTTTTCTTAAGTAGTGGTTTGTGTTTAGTACTCCAAATAAAGATACAATGTAACAATTTATGAAGGGTAAAACCTCTTAATGTACTAAAACTGCTACTTGAGGTAGCGGTTTTACTCTAAAAATAAAAAATAAACCAAAAATAAACTTATCCAAGCCTACGTGGACAGTAGTTCTGTAAATAAGTTTCATTCCGACGCAAAAGTGTAAAGAAGTTTTAAAGTAACCATATTTTTGTAAATCATTCTTTATTTTACTTGACAGCGTTTGACTTTTACATTATTCACACAACACGCTTTGACTCGCTTTTATGGTTTATAGATACGATAAAACATATTCATGTGAATCTTTTTTGAATCGTTTCAATGTATATTTTATTAATATCCACTTTTTATAATCTTATAATGTTGATAATTAGAGGTATTAATTGTTAAAAACATGCGTTGGCGATCGTGATAATAGAAAGGTGTCAACTAAAAAAACAGATAAAGTAATTTTTTATTTTATAATATGTTTTTATAGGAAAACTAGGTTAAAATCCCATGCAATGCATTTATGCATGGTTGTTAAATACTTTTGACAATAATATTACAAAATATAAAGTATACAAAAGATATTAAAAAATATTTCATTTGGGTATATATGGAATATGATTGTCAAACCAGAAAGAAAATACATAAGGAATAAATAGTTTACTTAAAGATTTTGCAAAAATAAAAAAAATAAATAAAATAAAATAAGGAAAAAGCAAAAAAGGGAAAATTTTCACAAGGTAATAGTGTCATGAAAAGATTTGCTTTTAGTATAGGTTAATATATAGATGAATAGTTTAAAAAAATAGATGAAGGGATGAAAATTGAATGTAACTAGTCTTTTGGCCCGAACGATGTACATGCTTGTTATTGGTATTTTTTTAGTTAAGCTAAAATACGGTCCCTCAACTTTGCCATTAGTAGCACATTTGGTCCCTTATCTTTGAAATGAGGCAAAAATATCCTTTAACCACCCTTGCCTCACCATTTCTGGTGGAGGAACTTCCTAATCAGCAAAGTTTAGGGATGTCAATGCCAGCTAAGCCGAAGTTCAGGGACTTCCAGCGATGAGTCAGCAAAAGTTTAGGGACTGCACTTGTTTTTTTCAAACAAAAGTCTAGGGACTTGTTAAATCACAAGTCAATTAATTAAATTAATTATAAACAAAAGGTTAGGGATTTATAAAGTGAGTGTTTTTTTAACCAAATATTTATCAAGTGAGTTGGCAAGAATAAAAATTGCTCATAAAATTTGATAACCATGATATATTATATATTTTTTTGGTAATCAATTTTTTTTTTACAATATTTCCCAACTAAACTCATTAACCACATATCCTCAAATCGTAACTCCTAACCCCAAACCCCTTATATATTTCAAACACCAAAATAAATTTAAATAAAAATAAATAAAACCAAAAATTAAAGTGTTTTCAAAGTGAGTAAGACTAATCAAAACTCTATAATATAAAACTAAATAAAATTATGAAACTGGAATAAAATTAATACCACCCCACTTTTCTCATAATCGATAATTTATTTTTTATGAGTTTATGTCCTAAAAGGTTTTCAATTTTTTGGCCTGGTTTGTTGTGTGTCAATTTCAAGGTTTTTCTATGTATTATGTGTTCTAAATAATTTTCAATATTTTTGGGTTTTATGTGAGACAATTTTAAGGGTTTTCCTTTTCCTCCCCCCCCCCCCCTCTTTTTTCTTTATTCTTATGTTAATTTCTAGGATAACATAATTGCCTTAAATTATTAACTAAATGTGTGATCATAAATTCACAGTTAGCTTAAATTATCTCACTTATATATATATATATTTATAAAGCAAATAATTTTTACTAAAATTAAATTGGTTTAGTTGAAATTAAATTAGTTTAATTGAACTAAATTACACTTATGGGTTAAAACTTATAATCACTCTTGTATAGGAGCACCATGTGTCCCTATAGGTCCCTAAACTTTGGCCTATAATTATTACATTAGCCACATCACTGTATAAATACGTGCCCCTAAACTTTCATTTCTAATTTAATTAATGTCAACTCATCACCTGAAGGTCCCTAAAATTTGCATTTTAAATCATTAAATTTGTTGCCACATGTGCACCAAGGTCCCTAAACTATGCTTAGTTAGATAATTTGTACCTGAAAAGTGAGTCATTGGTGGTTGAGGGACCATTTGCTTCATTTGAAAGTTAAGGGACTAAAATACTACAAATACAAAAGTTTAAGAACTGTATTTTACCTTAACTCATTTTTTTTGGTGCATGTAATTTATTTAATCATGAAATAGTAGTATGGAGACATTTAATAGTTTCTCCCTAGACCCAAGACTATGCACCTATACCTACACCGTACCCCTTCTAAGCGACACGCATAATACCCACTGCACATTGATATGTCTATTTTATATAGTAATTTACCCCCGTCCCTTGGTCATAATTAGTAGTGTTTTGGGCTCTTTAGAGCCACTTTTATTACTAATTTGTGTTTTCTAGCGTTTTCGTAGTTTTGGTTGAGTTTTGTAGCAAATTGCACACTTGGAGTATTTTCCCGGAATTATTAGGAGCAACTACGAGCATTGGAAGAGCACGACCATCTTTCGTAGCCCAAGGCCAGTTAGAATCATCAAAGTGGTGATTAAAGCCTCGACATATGAGAATCCGAAGCATTGGACACCGAGTATTCAAGCCCTTTGAGGAAATTCGGATTGGGTTGAGTATATTAAGGCCCAATCAAAGTCCAAAGAAGTGCCCAAGTGGCCTTGCCCGGTCAGGCATCCTCGCCTTGAGGCGCGCCCGACCGGGCGAGGCGGTAGAAGGAACAAGCAGCCCTTCGCCCGAGATCGCGCCCGACCAGACGCGAGAGAATCGTCCCTGATGAAAAAGGCAGGCCCGGTCGGCGGTGCTTCGCCCGACCGGGCGCGTGTCTTGAAGTTAATTCCGGGGATTTTTACTTAGATTTTAATTAGGATTTTGGTGTTTTGTATAAATACGTTTTAGTTGCTTTTGATACAATTACCTCTCTTTCATTAGTTTAATCTTCTCTTAAGCTTAAACTTCTTTCTTGTTTCTTTCTCTACAACTTTGTTCCTTAATTCATTATGTCTTGTTTCTCTCTCTACAACTTTGTTCCTTAATTCATTAGTTTAGATTTAATTATGTGAGAGTAGTTTTCTTTCT